TATATAGCATATTTTACCGTACTTTCTACTATGTTTATAATTTTTTACTTACCCTGGTCCTGAAATATTGCTGCAGACGACTGGGTTATTGTCCCACATATACCAATTTGCTGAAAGACGGAAGATCGTTATCAAAATTATTTATATTAAAAGGAGTATGTAATTATTATTATTATTATTATTATTATTATTATTATTATTATTATTATTATTATTATTATTATCATTGCTGTTGTTGTTTTTGTTTATTGTATTATTATTATATATTATTATTACACTATTATTATGCCTTTAGTAATTAAATACGATTTACACTTCGAATAACTAGTCATACTGTTTACTGTTGCCATAACTTCCTTAATGGCTTAAGTTAATTTATGTTAAGAATACTGCGAGTCCATTACATCGCAAATCACAAACAATTAAGTGTCGGTCTGCCATTGTGGTTTGAATAAATTCAAAACACTGTGAAATAATGAAATCTGCAAAAAGATATTGCTATCAGCATGTAATAATTACTTCAAAATATTTTCAGAATTCCGTCTAAAACCCTTAGTTCCTATACTTTATGTTATGAATACTGCATTAGTTATAACGAAATCCACACCACTGACCAATTACTATAAAATTTATTTAATTTAGGTGCGGTATATTGTTTACAACTTACTTTGATTGTTAACAAAACTTCCCCAAAATTCTTCAGTTTCATTAATTTCTGTTATATCTAGTGATGCAACGCATTTCTGCTTTAAAGTCCCCATGTAAACTTGCAATGATAACAATGCAAAAATACTCAGCACGAAAAACGTTAACAGCATAACTTCTCCAAGCATTTTCATTGACCGGAGCAATGCATTTATAATTGATTTTAATCCTGCAAATAAAATGAACAATATGAAATTAATCGTAGAACAATAAGCAAAGTTTCACTCTCTTCGTACATTGCTTAAAAAAAAAAAAAAAAAAAAAAAAAAAAAAAAAAAAAAAAAAAAAAAAACTCAAGGGGGTTTATTGATAATGACAGCATAAGACAGCATGAAACTCAAAGTTAAGCGATACAATCTACCATTGGATCAACGATGGCTTGTATTTTACTTTTTTTATCTAAAGTAAAGTATATATTAATTTGATTCAATGGTACTCAAATACACCAACTATTAATTTGAATATACACATTATGTTTTCAATAGAAACTATTGTGTGCAACACAATATAGTGTTATATGAATTATCAAAGACTTCGTTGACGTTTGACCAAAATTATTTTGCACAAACATAGACAATTCCAAAATACAAATATTGATAATAGGTTTTATTCACTTGAATATAAGTTAGAGTCAGCTGCCCTTCAAAATTGTTAAAAATCAGTTTATTATTACAATAAATTAGACCTAGGTTTATAAATATTATTTTATTGTAAACACAATATACATATAACAAAATAAAATTTACTGAATGAAAGAAAAATAATGTGATAATGGGTATTTAACAAGAAATAAAAAATAATAATAATGATAATATTACCTGGGACGACTGATATGGTCTTTAATGCTCTTAATACACGGAATGCTCTGAGTGCTGTGAAGTCACCAACCTCTACTTGAAAAAGACTAACAAAAAATGTAATATACCTAAAGAGAACAAAACGAAATAGCAAACGAATTAGAGTTCGAAAGATGTAACGTCTTATTCTGTAGACAATATTGTGTGATTTGTATTTAATTTTATTTATATATTATTTATTAAAACCAACAAATGTGGCAATCGGCCATTACATATCATGCTTAACAACAACTAATATTTAAAATAAAATTATCATATTTTATCGAATCAACATTTTATGTCCAATTCATTAGGAAAATGGGTAAATACATAACAATTTAAATTTATATATTTATGTGTTGATTGGGCATTATGCCTAACTGAATAAAGTAAAGGGAAACTCAGCATTAAGGTAAAGGGATGGGTAGCGTCATTGTGCTGAATTGCGTATGGGCGTGGTCCGTGACTAGCAGCAGTAGAGGCCTGAAGTATGTAGTTACATGTTCACATCATTCCATAACGCAGGATTAAATGAACCAGGGCATCGGGATAGCCCCTTCGTGTCCTATTGGAAAAAAGGAGTACACTAGCTTCGGGAGAGCTCCGTTGGTTGAGTTACGGAAGGCCTAAGTGCAGGGTCATTTAGTATCGGAATGGAGATAGGTTTGTACTCTCAGTTGTCAGCCAACATTTCAACTCTCCAGGCCATACCATCAACCAACTACGCTTCATGATAATCGGCAACAACTACCCTTCTACCAAAGCCCGGCGTTGCCCCGAAATTCGCTGGATACTACGTCTCAATACTCATTAGATGTGTATAAGAGACAGGGCTTATTAAATCGATATTAGAGTCTACTAATATGTAAAAAATACATATAATTTTTTTTTCTCCCAGACGAATTGTGCTTTTTCTCCCCGACGGGGGCGGGGCAACTCCCCCGACGGGGATTTTAAAAATTTTTAAATCAATAACCCACCAGGACTATCTGTCGTTTTCTTCTTTGCAAAAGCGGACAAAAAAAAGTCAGTTATTCTACAACGTTTCCATGATTCTTTATCAATAAAAATTAACAAACACTCGTTTTGACGCACTCCGTTCTGTAGTGTGTCTGCTGTTGAAAACGAACTTCCTAGCCTAATTTTGTGACTGCTTATGATGACTGAGATGGACTATGTTGATTTATTAATAATATTTTGTTTGGGATGAAAAAAAGGAGAGTCCATTTCCCCAAAATACTCCATCAGCACATAGTTCAGTGTGTGCATGGCTATGGAATTTACTAACCACACAATCCACAATTAGGTGATTAAGTCGCAAAACTTTATCTGCATTTGGTGGATTAAGTTGCAAAACTTCAGCTTCGTTTGGTGGCACCATTTACTCTAGGTAGACGGCGACCGGTTTCGTTACCGGTTGGTACATTTCTTACAAACATTCAGCCAAAGGCCAGTGAAAGTTGAGACGGCAGCCGGGTTTTTATCGATGTTTGCCATCCTTATGTGTGCCATCGTAAAGTCATGGTTTGCTGGAATTGCGTTTTATTTTAAATCTCCGAACTTCTGAAGCTGAGATATTCTATGAATGTAGGCTTGTATCGCAGGCTACAATTTAAAAACGGGTGGGACTCATTCAAAAATTCGAGGGGGTTCGCTAGAAAACAGGGGAGTTCGCTAGAAAAGGGGGGTTCGCCCGAACCATAACACCCCCCCCCCTCCTTGGCTACGGGCCTGATTACTTAAAACAAAGATATCACTATTTGAAACTAAGACACCTCTATTTAAAACTAAGATATCTTAAGATATTATTAAGATAATATAAGATATATATTAAGATATCCAAATATTAAGATATCTCTATTTGCGACTAAATGACATTTCGGCTCGCCATAGTCTTGGATTTAAATTTTGTTGGGGACAATACGTTTTTCTCAAACCACCATCAAGCAAACACAAGTTAAATAAAAGTTTCCATATTTCTGTAACTTAATAATTTTGAACAATCAGTTGATCACACGTGATTGTAAATTATAAATTATGTCCATAATAAAATAAATAAAAATTAAATAAACAATAATTTATAAGACAAATTTACCCTCACTGCTTAACGAAAATTGGTAAGTTTATAGTTACGCTATTATTGTGTCAGGAGGAGGAATGACGAAATGCTTTGTTGTCACATAAAAGGCTATTGACTCGAGAGGTTACAAAGTTCTTAAATTATTCATCGCCTTCGTCTGAGCGTTCGAAGTTGACCTTAGACATTGACACTGTGTTAAGAAGGTACCCACCGTTTATTAAGAAATACATTCTGCGTTAAATCCCAAAAACTATAGGAAATGCAATTAAAACATTAATTATCCATAAATTTACAAGGAAAAGTTATTAATTATAATATTACACAAGCCGAAACACAATTTAGTTTTTTGTTTCCATGCAACACTTTTACGCTCAAATTTTAGCTTCAGCTTATCTACTCTGTATCTCTACTGAGA